GCAATACCAAATACACCTAAACCCTTGGACCAAATAAAAACACAACCAATATTGTAAAAATTTGCAATTTTTATCTGGTTGAAGTCTCTTAAAAATATAAAAATATAGTTTAAATACATTTCTCATCCTTTAATAACTAGAATATAACCTATCACAAAAAAAAATAAAGCTAAAATCCTAAATTAATAAGAAAAAAATATAAAATATAATCCAAAACTTTGAACGCAATTTTTAGTGTCTTCGGAGTGGGATTTGGCGAATTTGAGCAGCGAATAGGCTTAGTAAACAATATTAAAATTAAATGTGATGAAATTTTTGATATTCTAATAAAATTATAATTTTAACCTTTATAAATATGAGAAAATTCTAGATCAATCTCTTGCTGTAATTTTAGTTTTTCATATTTGTTTGACAAATAATTAAGGTTTATTGGTAAATAATTATCAAGTTTTATGATTTTTATCCTTTTGAATTATATTTAGGGAAAACATTTGATTTTTTGGTTTTTGAAAAAAATAAACAATTTGGTTCATAATTATATAGGCTATGAGTTAGACACTGAGTTAAGTGTATTAAATAGATTGTATATTCTTTTCAAGTTGTTTTTTAGAATGTCTCATTTTATATTTATATAATCTTGATATTCTATATGTAGGACATCAACAAGATTGCTTTCAATATCTATTTCCATGTTATTTGTACCTTTGAGTTAGGTGAGTGGATAATTTTCATATGCTAAATGATTAATATAAATAATTGAATTGTTAATATGAAATTGATTGTGCTTCTTGGTAATTCTTATATTGTTATATTCATTATTTATGATTAAACATGATCACATATTAAAACTAAATCTTGAATATAAATCATTACATACTTTTTATTTGATTGATGTAATGAGTTGAGTATTGAAATATGAATATATCTGTGTAACTATGATATTAATATATGGTATGCCAATTAGAATACCTATGTTAATAAGATAGTTGACACAATCAAAAAGTTGATGTCTTGTTGTAAGTGCAAGAGTGTCAGAGTACTAAATGAGATGTCTTATCCTAAGTGCAAGAGTGTCAGAGTACTAAATAACCCAATAAAACCAGGATCGATCCATAGGGAGATCAACTACATAAATTACAAATAAAAAAAAAGATTTGAAAAGAATAATAAGAGAAAATGAATTGAAGAGAGTTTTAAGATGTGATATTGATGTAAGGATTAAACAATAATAAAACAGTTGTTAAGATTAGAGAATTCACTAATATAAACTTCTTTCATTACTTAACTAGAAACCACACACAAAAGAGATTCTAATCGGATGATTTATCATTAATAGCTTATTATGAATTATTAACATGATTATATTAATTATCTTATTTAAGTAACACCAATAATTATAAATATTATCAGGTATTCATGATGTTAATTTATGTTAATAACAAATCAAGTTATTCTCAAGACAACAGTGTTGGTTAATATGGTCGAAAAGTATGAAATATCGTTGGTTAATATGGTCGAAAAGTATGAAAGATCAAGTATTTATTGTACCAAGAATAATGCAACACAAAATCTAGACTAATAATTTAACTAGTAAGGTATTAAGAATTGGTATGACAAAAATGATAAGACATGTTAAGAGCAAACTTTCTTAAATATAAACATTAAAGTCCATGTTGAGTTTATATTATACGTATTCTAACACTATTAGTGAAACCTTTTCACCTTAATTTAATAAACTTAGCTAAACATTATGAAGTAGAAAAACAAGAATAAACAAGATAAGAACATAGTTATAATATAAGTTAACTAAGTATAGGAAATGAAATGAAAAGTATAAACAATAGATTAATATAACATGAAAAAAAACTTAAACATTGCAAAGAGAGAAAGCAAGAAAATAATCTTGATATGAAAACCAAGATGTCTCAATGTATAGAAAATGCCTCATTTTATATGCTAAAAAGAACTATTCATTTAGTAATTAATCTTTGATTAGTGGCTAACTATTGACTTTGTAGATAGCCTTTAAGTTTTTATTTTAACAAAATATCATTGCTAACAACAAAATTAGAATAAGTAGTTTTCATAAAAGTTATGGTAATCTGTCTCAGCTATCCACCACAAGAAAAAAGAGCTCATTTAGACTTTTAGAACTTGAGATATGGACTAAAAACTGAATAATATCTGAGCTGTAAAATAGATTCAGACTTTTTTTTTTGTTTCTAAGATTTGAACTTGAAAATGACAGATTTAAATCTTGGACTTTTCATGAATATTTTAGGCCTACTTCATAGCTTTCCATCAAGATAAACCAGACTTAAATCCAAGCTCTACAACATTAGTTATTACCCAAAAACCGAATAGTGTTCCAGTTTGAATTGAACGACATCTCTTCTCTTAGTCATTTCTTTGTTTTTTCACTTTCAATAATTAATCATATCAATCGATCATTTGAATTGTGAGATATGCCTGCATTTAAAATAAGTATTTATCATAAATTAAAGCTATCTTATATTATCAAATTTGTTATTATAAATATGCTTAAGTTATAGAATTTAATGATACTTTAAGTGCCATATGATGATATAAAACCTTAATGAAAATACACTTTTAAGTACTAATAAGTAGTGTTAGTTTTTATTCACATCGTATCTTAACCTTATTTGGTTGGGGGAGTCACCAACCTGTGGTGATTGATCATCCTATAGTATGAAGCGTTATATTTATTGCATTTTGATTTTCTGATGAATCTTACTTTATGATATTTTTATTATGGTTTATTTGGGAAACTTATATTTGAACACACACACACACACACACACACACACTTCTTATTATTGTATTACTTTATGTATGTATATTGAACATTATCTACTTACTGAATTGTTGAACTCACTCTCTTATTATTTATATTTTTTAGGTTTATAGCTTATTTGCAGGTTGCTTTTATTAAATCTTCAAAACCCTCTTTTTTTTGTTGTAATTAATAGTTTTATTTTATGTCTAGTTAGTGCTTAATAATCATGATATTTGTATTAACTTTTGTATTAAGATACTTAATTTATATTATGGAGCTAGTTATGTTATCATATTTTATGGAATTCTATTTTGTTTATAAAATGAAAACATTTGTATGTAAGTTTGGGTTTGCATAAGTATAGAACCCTAGAAGGGGACCTGTTAATTATGAATCTGGGAATCAAGTCTTGACATTTGTTCTATAACCCGTTTTGTTATGGTTTTCAAAAATAAAATAAAAATTATTAGTTATTTATTTTTTGAAAATAAACTTATTTTTGTTTTTTATTTTATTTAAGTTGAATTTGATTATTGTTTCATGATAGAAAAGAAAAAAACAATAGAGATAAATTAGACATGTTTCACTATACTTCATGTTTTGAAATTACAAAAATTAACTAAAAAATTATTTTATAAATATATTTATT